GCGTCATCTACCAAATAAAGTAACAAAGGGGCCATTTTGTGAAATGTCAATTTCGTGTCAAGCCTTCATCTACCATATATGAGACAATATCAGAAAGAGTCTAACTTCCTGGTTCCATCATTCAGCGGCAATTATCTTTAGATCCAATTATCTTTTTGGAAAATTTTAAGTTTCAGTATTAACTAGAGTATATAATGCACCAACTATTGCCAATTTAACACTCCTTCTTATATTTCTTCCAATAAATTATTATAATATAAATGTTCAACCCCCCAAAAAATCGTGTTGTCCACTTTTGTTTTTCTGACAATGAAATCATTCAAAGAATATCCTAATCAAGTAAATATGTTTCCAATTGTCACAATTATGATAGATTATATAAGAAAGTTGTCCCCTATTGATCTGTTTTTTTTTATAACTAAAGCATATCTAAAAAAATTGCATTTTAAAACTTTGTCCCAAGGGATAATTTTCTTGTTGTTACCACTGTTTTTTTTTACCTGTGGAAACATTTGAAAGACCAAGATTTAATTTCCTATATTGCAATGAGAAGAGCGTCATTTCCTGAATGCATGGCAATTCGCATGACTACGCGTGTATAGTTTGAATGGCGGTCAGTTTGAAAAATCCGAATTTATAGAACAATACTTTTGTTGTTCTCTCCTGTTACAGCCTTTTGTGTACTTTCTGAGAATATTTTAATGTCAACACTATAACATTAAATGTGTTTTTATAGTATCTTATTAAACTGATATGTAGATGGAAGTACACTTCCATACAATTCAAATAAAAGGACAAAAAATACTCTGTAATTCCTTTCTGTTACGTTCTGTCATGTTACCTGATAAAAAGTAACAGCATGGTCATAATCAGTAACAGGAAGGATGTCAAAGACAATTTTGCTGATGAAACACAAAGTTAATCTACTGTATGCCAAACAGTTCATTCAATATAATTTATTATCATCATATTAAATAAATCTCAACATAATATACTGTCTTTTGAATGAAAAGACAGGTTTTTGACTTTTGACAACAGCAGAAAACATTGTGCAATTCTAGTATAGTTGATGGTAACAGAAAGGAATTTATTTTTAAATTTTTCATTACAGACAGATTTTTCATCTTGCAAATGAAAGTTTCAAAAGAAAAATGACATTGTTTGCTGTTATCTTCCAATTGTGACCAATTTGTTATTATGTATTTTTCTTAAACTATGAAAACAAAGGAATTGTTTTGAAATAAAGTTCCTTCCTGTTACCAACTCTGTCTTGATACTCAAGATTATTTCGTGTTACCGACAAATCGGACGATATTTTAGTATATTTATTAACCTTATGTATTGTAAATGCTAAAATAAATAATTGACATTTGATAAAATATTGCAGGATGTACTAGTAAACCACAAATAGTATCTTTAATTTATTCCTTATTCCCGTTAGGAACTTTTTTAAAATTGAAACACTTTGGTAACAGGAAGGAACTGGAATTTTTGGTAGCATTTTTTACTTTGCCTTAGTTACCACATTTAACAATTTTTTGAATTACATACAACAGTTCCTGAATCCTCAATGTTTTTTCTTCGTTTTGTGCTATTAAATTACAGATTTAAAAGGCATTTTTGTTTTGTTTTTCCCATTGCCAAAAATTAGTTTTTTTCTGATATTGTCTCATATATAGTAACAAAGGGATCATTTCGTGCAATGTCAATTTCATGTCACGCCACTATTTTTCACAATCTGAGGTTCGTTTGGGGAAGTTAAATAATTTTTATTTTTGTGTTAAAATTTTCATAGAAATTATTGATGCAAATTTTAGCTGCAGTATAAAAACAATTTCAGGTCAATGTCAGAAAAGCATCTACTTTTTTTGTATTTGGTACGAAACTGTTAAAGGACTCATCAAACGTCGCCCAGTTTCTTTATAACTCATACAATAAAGTTGATATTTTTCTGACATTGACCTAATATTGTACATAATCACGACAAATGCTCTTTAATACGAAGTTAGAAATACTTTAAAGTGTGATTATAGTGAGTAACTACATTGGGAAAAAAATATAAGGTACATACACTACAATATGCCGACGGAAAACAAATTATAAGCAGGGGCCTAAGTGGGACCGCTGAACGATCATAGTAAATTTCTTATTGAAAAAAAAAGTTATATGAAATTAATTGTAAGCATATGCCTACAATGCCACACTGGTGCTACGCCACTCACCGATAACGAACTCACATGAAAACCCGTCAAGAAATAAGGTTGTAAATATTAAAACATGCATGTCTTTGCAGCATATTATCACGGTATCTGTGTTTCAAAATAATATTTGTAAGTATTAATATAGGATTAAACACATTTTTAGGCAGTTAAGCTGCCTTATGCTACCACCCTAGATTTGTGTTCTTCCCACTAAATGGTGTAAAAAGTGCTATTGTTATTATCTAGCTGGCTAATATGTTATTAATAACTAATTGGGCACTTTTTTCATACTTTCAATTCTGGAATACAAAAAATATGACCAGAAAAACCTTAAATTATCGTCGAACTACCCAAAACTTTTGAAGTTGCACACAGGAAGTAGTGCTCAATAGAAATCCGTACGTAGTTTATCATCCCATGTGCTTTTGGCTAAGATGTCAAAGAACAATTGTATGAAATATTTCATCGCCGAAAATCTCTAATTACAAGTCGTTTACATTTCCCAAATGGCCAAAGGCGCAGGAAAATTGTTCTTGTACACCAAATCTCTATGATAGAGGAAATAAAGTTATATGTTGTAGTCTAAGTTGGCGGTAATTTTAACTTACACAAACATTAGGTAATTATATATATAAGTATTCTGATGTTTTAAAGTAAGTTTTGTTAATAATGATGTTCTTTTCGTTTAAGAAGATTGTGATTATTTTATTTCAATTAAATGTATGCACATTTAAATTCCTTTCTTTTATTATATTATCCCGTTTATCACTGACCTTGGCAGTTGTTGTTGTTTTTATGAATGAAAAAGATCGGAAAATCGACGTTGATGGGATATTTTAGGAAATGTGGACAACTCGTCCCTGAGACAAGTCGGACCGAGTCCACTCTGACCGTCTTAGAAGACAACTCGGACCGATTGTCAGATTTACTTAGGGTTCCATAAAATGTTAGACTAACATGTCTAGCGGAGTTATCAATTTTTCGTTTGTGCATTGGGGTCTATTTAGGGGTATTTTGAAGGGCCTAAATAAGGAAAGGGTTTGCTATAGAACCCTATGGGGATTTTATATTTTTCAATTTTCAAATGACTATTACTTGAAAACAGTAAGTGATAGACACACATGATCTTCAGTAATGATAACAGGACAATAGAGCAAATCAAATGAAATATAGGATGAGTCCCTGGGGGTCATCCCACCCCTTCAATTTGAAAATGTGTTTTTATCTTGTAAACGGTCGCGATCCCCACCCCTAAACCGTATATATACTTGTATGGGACAATAAAACAAATCAAATGAAAATAATTTGGGGGAGTCCCAGGTGTCACCCCACCCCTTCTGTTTGAGAACTTGTAAATGGTGGAGATCCCCACTCCTAAACCTAAACAATATTCATTTATGGGACAATATAACAAATCAAATGAAATATAAGGGGAGTCCCTGGGGGTCATCCCCTTCTGTAAAGAACTGTTAACGGTTGAGATCCCCATCCCTAAACCATACATAGTTTTGTATGGTACAATAAAACAAATAAAATGAAATATAGGAGGAGTCCACAGGGGGTCAACCCCACCACCTCCTGTTTGAAAACTTGTTAATGGTCGAGGTCCCCACCCTTAACCATACATATTCTTGTATGGTACAATAAAACAAATGAAATAAAATATAGGGGGAGTCCACGGGGCTCAACCCCACCCCCTCCTGTTTGAGAACTTGTTAACGGTCGAAATCCTCACCCCTAAACCATACATATTCTTGTATGGAACAATAAAACAAATCAAATTAAATATAGGGGAGCCCCTGGGGGGCCACCCCATCCCTCCTGTTTGAGAACTTGTAAACGGTTGAGATCCCCACCCCTACACCATATATATTCTTGTATGGGACAATAAAACAAATAAAATAAAATATAGGGGATTAGTCCATGTGGGTCTTCCCCATCCCTTTTCTTTTTGAAAATTTGCAAACAGTTGAGATTCCCACCCTGAAACCATATATATTCTTGTATGGGACATTAAAACAAATCAAATGAAATAAAGGGAGAGTCCCCTGGGGATCAATCCCCACCTTTTGAGAACTTGAAAACGGTCGAGATCCTCACCCCTAAACCATATATATTCCTGTTCGTCAACTCAAGAGTGGTTGAATGACACAGGGTCAATCTCCTAGGCGTCCCACATATGCATATCACTTTACTTGACCAAACCAATTTGTACTGGACTCTGCCCTATGTCAGGCGACCATGGGAATGACGAATTATAGGAGCTTTGTTTGGGAGACTTCGTAACAGTATCCTGTTACAATTATTTCTTGTTTATTATAGAATTTAATTGATGCAAGAAATAAGTCTAGGTTGAATTTACTTTAATTATTTTTTGAGTTATTTCTGGGCCTATAAGAATTTTCATTTAAGGCTTATTTTAAAGGAAACATATTTAAGATAAATTAGAAATAACTTTTGAAAATGGTAGGATTAGATGGCGGAAACATTAAGGTACAAACATTTTTTTTAACTTGTAATAGCTGAGATAAAAAATTAAACCAATTCTTCCACAATATTCATCTTAACTTAAGCTTCTGCCACGTTTTGCCTTGGGTTTTTTTAATTAACTGCCTATAGCGCCCTTGGTGCTTTGATTTCTAGAGGTTATTGATGTGTAAACTCGGGCGATTAACTCACAAACTGAATAAAAGTCCGAAGGATGTAAACTCGGGCGATTAACTCACAAACTGAATAAAAGTCCGAAGGACTTTTATGTGAAGTTTGTGAGTTAATCGCCCGAGTTTACACATCAATAACCTCTAGAAAAAATGTGTTTAATCCTTATAATTCTTAATTCAAATTTAGATAGTCGTTGTTTGTAATATTTTTTTTTATAAGTTTTTTTCCTTTTGTGGAGCACTAGCGTTCCATATATGGGCAATGCGCATGAATATATCAGAGTGAAATCGACACACAGGGAAGCTAATGTAGGTCATCACTTATTCTCGTAAAAGACAAAAAAGTAAGAATTAACAACACATTCTGCTAAATAATTTTGTTTTAAAACACATAAAGAAAAAATAATAGAACAACAAAAACGTTCAATGTAAATAACTGAATGTCTACAGTCAAGAGTCAAATAATCCGGATTTTTAAGCCGCGCCATCAACGTGTACACACGCTACACAACTACACAGCTCAAAAGTGTTACATGTTAGCTGAAATTGAAACTACAGTTGTGAAATACAGAATTTGCTGCAAATCCAGACATTTTGTGGTTTTGAAGATTGGACTGACTCTTTACTAGAACGTTCTGATTTGGCATATCGAAAGAGCGGAGTGGAGTTCGTTCGGTAAGTACAGAATGTCCAGTTTCTGTGTCTGTGACATTGGTTTGAATTGGAGAAATGGCGGTAGAAGTAGAAGGGGCAACTGGTACAAGTGCTGCTGATGACGAAGAATTACCCGTTGCTACATTGTCTAACACCGAACTAATTTTGTACTTCTGAACGGTGCTTGGTCTTCTGCAATATGATTTCAGACTTTCCTCACATTTATGGTCCGACATAAACATGATGCTCCTATCCGTTAAACCAGCATCACTCATGGCTGTAATAGCTGTAGATCTGAGTGAATGCCCTGTGTAACGTTTGACACCAGCATTTTTACATATGTCGGGCATTAAAGCAGAGACGTTTTTAACTTTCACAGGCGTTACATTATACCATGTTTTGTACATTGATGGACAGCGTAAGGCTTCTCGGCAGCATTGATTGAACAATGATTTGGCGGCTGGATCACACTTTGATAGAAAGTGCTTAATCGTAGTAAGAGGACAGGATGGAGAATTGGGTACGGCATACATTCTCTTATCTTGCGTTTCTTCTGTTGCATCATCTAGTCCACCCTGGTGTTTTTTTTGGTGTGTCTCGTGCGAAATTGACAGGAATTCAGATCTCCTTTCATCATGTTCAAATTTGAAAGAACTTATATTCAACTGATGATGGAATTCTACCCCACGGCTGACGAAATGAATTCCTAAAAGGTACCATACTCTGAAACGGAGTGCAACAGGGTCCTCTTTTCTCATAAGGTAGGTGTTAATTTTCATCAATTCAGGAGTTGATATAGTAGGGTGGTGTTGTGTAGGTCTTGATAAACCATTGCGCAAATTAAATTTGAGCTTGGCACTCAACATAGAATTTGCTGATTTAAAATCTGTGTCACGGACAATGTCAATGCTACGGCCAATATCTTTAAGATGTCTGTTTATAGCAGCACGTACATTTTTTAATGAATTTTTGTGATATTCCTGAGCTTGCTCTTCTGGCATTTTTAAAGCCCTTTTGGATATGTTTTGAGGTTGAGCCTCAGCATAAAATTGCCTCAAACTGCTGTTCAGACTGATAACAGACACAGTTTGAAAGTCCACAGTACTTGCGAGTCTTTCAGAACACCAAGCTGAAAAGTATTAATGTAAAAATATAAGTTTGATTACAAAAAAGTTCATCTGCTTATGTTAATTTTTATCTAAGATATATATGCATATGAGAAGATCATGTTTTAGGTTACTTTTATTGTTTGGTTGCTGTCTTATTAACATATAGGCTATACGCCCCATCTCCTTTCATTCATATTTTCTAAAATATATCTGTTTGGTTATTTCATTAATTAAGTCAAATAATACATTGTGTACACCAATCTCAAGTTTTGATTTTTTTTTACCCATGGTCAATGGGCGTAAACAATGACATCGAAAACAATCCATTCTTACTGTGAGGTTATGACATAAGCATTGTGATAGTGTTAGGAAATGAAGGGGAAAGAGCACAAAATAGAAAGTTGTCTATTTTTCTCTGTCCATTTTATTTAGTCAGGTAATAAACATTGAAATGTATAAGTTTGATATTATTTTATGTTGTGTTATTTCATGTTTTATGTTTTATTTTAGCTTGTTTTATTTCAAGTCAAGATTTAGATGAATCCACTCCTTTCTGGGAAATGGTCAAGTTTTGATTTATATTGTCTGTCAAAACGGATCATTGCCTGGGTAGGTTTGGTGGAAAAACAACAGCAAATTCAATCACTGTGTTTTTTAAAGATTTTTTTTATAGAATCTTACCATTAAAGACTCCAACTCCCCACTTTGTGTTCTTTTTTGTTGAGGCACTGTACTGATTTTGCTCTATTTCAAGCAGAGTGTCTGTGTCTAGATTTTTGAAACGTCTGGAGTTAGATGTATTTTTTGAATCCTGTATTAGTGCAGGTTCTTGGTGATGTTGTTGTACCTGGACATCAACTGTTTCAGCAAAAGTTGTGCTTGTTAGTGTTTCTGTAACTGTTTGGTCATTGTTGATGCTTGTTACAGCATGAAGCAGCATTTCGTCAAAGCCTTCAACTTCTTGGTGTATAATTTCGAAAAGGTCAACAACTTCATCAGCATCAATGTGTTCTGGCAGTTGTAATTCAAAAGTTATTGGAACATCTGGCAACGTAGATGTGTCAAAATCAGCATCAAGCTCCATTTTTTACAGAATTTTAGCAGACGATTTTTTCAGATGAATGGAAGGTCATGTGATTTCCGTATTTTTTACCAATTAAATAAATGATTTACAGCTATAATTATGAACTCCATTTTATTTAATTTTTACAACCACTAAAAAATATAAATTTATACAAGCCCGGTTATATTTACACGATTAGCGTTCGCGATTTAGAGCCGCCATATTGTTTACATTAGTTACAAAAATAGTTCCGGCAACACAGTCTATCGAAGTGTAAACCGAGAATAGAAAGTGGAATTGACCAATCACAGTTAACTATATGTAGATATGCTAATCATATAAGAATTATAACATCATATTTGAAGCATATTACTAGGATGACCTTCAAGAATATGAATGCTTGATTGGTTGATTGATTAGTTTTTAACACCACTTTCAGCATTACAGTGCTATTTCTTGGCGGGCAGTTTTTATTTGTGGAGGGAGGCGGAGTTTTTGTTAAGTAAAGTTTTATTTGATTATTTCTCCTATTTGCCTTTGAAAACATTTTTTTTAACTATTTTATGACGAATACCAAAGAAATAACCGTTTTAAATCCGACGTCGAATCCGCTCAAATAGTTTTTATGACAGCCAATGTGTTTTAGAACTATATACAAATAAAGTACGAATAGTACGAATACGTATACGAAAACAATACTTTATTAATCCAATTAAATGGCTTCCGAGCATATACATATATATATATATATATATATATAGTATTAATGATACAATATTTTTTAAGATATATTACACTGAAAATAAATGAATAACTAAATATCCTCCATATAAGATGGTGTTAAAAAATGTTAATAAAAACAGCAACACCGTGGCCTTAAATAGAATGCAGAAAAGACAAATACAACAATAAAACATCACACAGAAAACCAAAAATTGGGAAGCACGAGCCGAACAAGAATCGAGGATGAACTCAAGTGCTCCGAAAGGGAAGGCAGTTCCTGTTTCAATTGTGGAACCCGTCTTATTGCTCAAGCAAGTAACAATTCGGTGACAATCGCATTTCGTAATGCAACAATCAAGGAAAAGATGATCCGTGATCATCTGTTACACAGACTATCCATAGCGGTCATTCAAATCATGATAGCGCCCGTAAAACTGTACAATATAAAGATATATTAGATATAAAAAGAATGTCCAAAACATTTACTAGAAATATATTTGAGATGTGATCTTTTGAAAATGTATTATACACATGCATATATACACGTCGTTTTAATAGAAACAATGAAAATAGGCTAGAAACTTTTGTTTAAAAAACTGATGTTTCATATGGTCTCCAAATTCTCAAAAATTCAAAAGAAGTCTCGTTCTGATATTGTCTAAAGACAATTGATCATCACTATTGTTTTGTGACATATCAAATACAGAGACATCACTCCATATTAACCGAAAATCTGTTGGAATGTCTTCGATGCAAATATCCAGTGCAACAATTATAACTTTCAGGAGAGAACGACACGATTTATCTTCCTTTGCTTGATCTATTTCGTAAGCGGCAAATGGTTTGGACATGAAATCAGAAGTCACAACAAATATGATATGACGGCTGCTAGATATCGCATGAGCAATTTGTTCATAGATTGACTTTCCACCAACAAAATTTCTATTTTGTAAAGTGGTGATACAACAGCTTTTGAATCGTATAGAATTGAGTTTCAAATATCTTAATCCAGGTCCAAAAACTGGGTGTCCGTACAAATCATTACTCAAGTTTCTTAATTTTATAGCCGGGTAAAATGGCGTTCCGACTATATGGGAATTAAGAAGGAATATTTCGCTCCTTAAACTTTTATTTTAGCAGTCCGGCAAGACCGAACAACAAACTCCAAACCAAATGTCAAGTAACATACAAACAATAACAATATATATAAGCACAACCAATTAAAGGATTAAGAAGATTAACATATGCCAAATAGAAATGACAATAGATTAGAAGAGTAATTAATGTCCGACACGTATAAGTAAATTATTGTCTAAACTGTTACAGAGAATAAATAATTAAATGAATAGAGTAAATGAATTTAAGTCCTTTGTCCAAGATTATGAAACATAATCCGTGTGAAACACTTATGCCTAAATTTACGACAAAGTTCAGACAGTGTTCCCGCCTGCCCTAAATAGAAGGGCGGCCCGCCCTTGGTGCCCTTACCCCCGCCCTTCTGCCCTCCAAAGTAAAAGAATGTACCCCTCTGCCTTTTCAAAAAAATAAAATTTCAAAATTTCATGCCTACTGGCGTTTCCGGTAAAATTGTTACCTGATTGTGTAACACTAATTAACTGACAATGGGATTAAGTTAAATACCTAGTGCTTTGGCAGTTTTATCACCTTTGTTAATGATTGTTTACTGCTAATTAGTGGATTTAAGATAATTGAACAAATACTAGATATTTAATACAGAATGAAATGTCCACATGTTATCCATTTGTTATGTTTATGTACAGCATGTACACCTGAAAAAATTTATTTCAGTAGGCATAACATAAAAAATAAAATCTTAAACAATTTTAAAGGCAAACATAGTTTTGACTTAATTGGTAAAAAATGTTTTGTTTCATAACCATCATGTAACCATCATGTGACCATGAGTATGAAATTTAAAGAGGAATCAAAGAAATTTGTACTTTGAACATAACAAGATTCACTTCCTGTTTCTAATACTTCTTGTATTTTATAATCCTCCTGACATAGGAGCACTCAACAAATTTTTTTTAACAATGATGGAGAAAAAAGTAACTGTTTATATCTTCTGCAATATATTATTGCATCAATATAAAATATGATCATCTCCTGTCTCACCTGTTATATTTATAAAACTCCTTACTGAGGAGCACTTTGGTGTGCACTTAAAAATACTTTTTTGTAACAATTCAAATGATAATAAATAACTCTCAATAACATATATACTATATGTTTGAAAAAGTAATTTAAATGTAGATAATTTAATTACATTCAACATTCAATTTTGCATGTATAACTCCATCTTTCAAAACTACTTGTTCATTTTGGTATAAGTTATAAAACATTGAAATTTCTGATGATTATTTTCCATACCAAATGTGCAAGTTTGTTTAGATTAAGATCAAAATGATATGCTTTGCTTCATGGTATAATAATTTGATGAAAAAAAATTCTTACTGGAACCAACATCAAGAACATATTAATTTCTGAATATGGTTTAAATACAACTAATGTTCTCCAGCTGAGCCTAGCAATATTCAAGGTAATTTATACACTGTCCAACATTGCCCTTAAAATCTGGGTTATAACGCTAAAGTGCCCTTTCAGACAACTAGCACCCTTCTGCCCTGAGATTCAAGCTGGAACACTGTCAGAATAATAAAATAAATGCAAAACAAGAATATACATTAAAACAATTGAATTCATAAAATATTGTTTAAAAACTAATTTCATTGCACAGTCCAAATTGTCCGGTCATATATTCCCGCGGCCCTTGAAGACACGACCCGGGTTTTACTGTTCATCTAAAATTATTCCGAAAGTTTCTTCTGTGGTTGTGGCGTCCTCTGTAACGATAGTTTTGGTTTGAATAGTTATCTTCTCTTGTATTTTTCCTAAAATTGTCCAATCTCGAAAATCACTCGGTCGTGCCTGAGTCTTACGTTATCTATGAATTCCTTGTTATATTCTAAGGTTTGAAAGAAGTCCATCAGTTCTATGGTATTAAGTTCCGCACAAGGAAACATTGACATAGCTTTCTGTTCTTTGAATTTTTTCATTCTTTCTGCGTCACGACGTAACTTGGATTTCGATTTAACCTTAACAACTTTCACGTCCGGTTGTCTGTGAAAATTACACATTCTGGCGTAATGTCCAAAACTTCTACACTTATAGCAAAATGACGTTTTTGCTATACATTGTCAAAAATGAAATTGATTGTTCACAGTCTTTCCACAAAACTTACATAGGTGGTTGTCCATATGTTGAAAATTTCTTGTCTGAAAGGTAGTTCCATGATCAGACATCTGGTATCTCCAGTCTCGGCCAAAATTTCTGGTTCTCGGCGTATCCATTTTTCTGTTTGCTGGGGGATCAGCTTCACAGGTAGAACAAGGTATCCGATAGATGCGTTGCCCGGATGTCCTTACACCAGATATAGCCAGGTAAAATGGCGTTCAGGCTAAATGGAAATCAAGAAGGAATATTTCGCTCCTTAAACTTTTATTTTAGCAGTCCGGCAAGACCGAACAACAAACTCCAAACTAAATGTAAAATAACATACAAACAATAACAATATATAAAAGCACAATCAATTAAAGAATTAAGAAGATTAACATATGCCAAATAGAAATAACAATAGATTAGAAGAGTAATTAATGTCCGACACGTATAAGTAAATTATTGTCTAAACTGTTACAGAGAATAAATAATTAAATGAATAGAGTAAATGAATTTAAGTCCTTTGTCCAAAATTATGACACATAATCCGTGTGAAACACTTATGCCTAAATTTACGACAAAGTTCAGAATAATAAAATAAATGCAAAACAAGAATATACACTAAAACAATTGAATTCATAAAATGTTGTTTAAAAACAAATTTCATTGCACAGTCCAAATTGTCCGGTCATAATTTTATAATCCGTTGAAATACCTCATCTGGATAAAACAGATACCCTCTTTTATCTGATGAATCCATATTTAAACTAAAATCAAGGTTGATAATATTTCGTATATTTGTCAATATAAATAAACCATCGGTCGATATATTTAGTGCGTTTCCGGCTAACGATACATTTTCCAGACTATTCAAGCCATTAAAGCCTTTGGGTTGCACGGTGTGTATTTTACTGTTGTCAAGCTCAAGTTTTTTTAAATGCCCGTATCTCGCAATGATTTATTCAAAATAACACACAGGTTGTTTTCACTCAGATCCAAGGATTCAATGTCTATTGGTAAATCTTGCGGAATACCTGTTAAATTTTGAGTGTGAAGTTCCAGTGGGAAGAATAAATGCAGCCAGCAATAAACTTTCATATTTCCCTGTAAGGAAAAGATAAATAGCATTATTTTTTTGAGTAATGAAAATATTTTAAATTGAAAAACAAAATTTTAAGTTTATGATATAGTTTCTTAAAAAATCAAATTCCAATAAACTGTAGTATTTGACATCTTTTAAATTTTGACACTGCTATATCACGTACCGTACGTATCATTGCCATCGTCTTTGTAGACTTCAGACGAATGACAAAGAGCAAGGAATCGCTCCTGCTTATATACCACAATGGTAGCCGTATCATTCTTGAAGGAGGGGTGTTCTTC